CACACACACACACACACGCGCGCGCCCGCGCGGTTAATGGCGTTATTGTGTCAATCTGCTTCTCCCATTTTGTCAATTCTAAGCCTTACTTGTCTTACTTGTCCACGGTGTTGGGGTCACTGCAGTCGGAACATGTCCATCCCTGCTCCCCCCCCCCTCTTCAGGATCCACGTGTATTGGACGGGGTGCACAGTTAGTACAAACGTTCTTTGACTATACCTATAAGACCGCACCCAACTCCCTTCTTTTTCTTCTTCCTCTCGATCCCACCCAACAACAAAAATTAAAAAAATTAAAAACTGGGCCGTCCTGCTCAGTTCTTCTGTTGACCCGTACAGCGTCTCTCGTTGTGTTTATGGGGTTGGCCCATAACTGTTGGCCGCCAGCCTTGTTTCCTATCTTAGGTCTCCGTGTTTCCTGCTCTGCTGAAGGATGTGTATGTGTCCCACGGTCTGTTCTGTTTCTCAATCTCTGCATTGGCATTTTTTCGTAATTGTACAAGTTTACAACATAATATGTACATGTGCTGTCTGAGTCCTTGTGTTGTGTGTTCATTGTCTGAAGTCTGAACTTGATACCCGACTCTCTATTGAAACTTTTGTGTTTCTTCTTCATGTCCTAGTGGGTGGTTGGCGGGGGCTTTGGTGTGGTTTGCTCCTTCTTTCCTATCAAACATCTATCGTCCTTAACTCTCCGCCTTCTTATGTGTATGTTACTCTCTTGTAACACATATATTCTTTGGCACTTATAATATGACATTATTGTGTTGCAAGTGACGTAAAACTCCTACTAAAACTAAACTTTCTGTCCTCAGCGAGGAGCCCACTGAGATGACGGCCATGACCGATCCGGAAGTGACGTCATCAGATGGCGTGGCCGTGACCGGAACCACGGCCAGAGACCACCGGAAGGCCTTCTTTAAACGATACTTCCGGTCTCCGGTTGGAAAATGTGAGGGCGGGGGTTTTGAAACTGGCTTTTTTTATATGTTGAAGTATTAGGTGTCGTGTATCTTTATTAAGCCTTTTGGGAGGTGTGTGTGTGTGTGTGTGTGCGTGTGTGTGTGTGTGTGTGTGTGTGTATGTATGTGTGTGTGTGTGCGCGTGTGTGTTTGTGTGTGTGTGTG